GGCTGTGGGTTAGTCCTCAGTGGCTCTGTTCTCTCCAGGCCAGGCTGTGGGTTAGTCCTCAGTGGCTCTGTTCTCTTGCCACCAGCACACTGGCTCATTCTTTGACAGACCAACTGGATTTTATTTGCAAGTGAAGCAATGGACTTTTAATATAATTATTTCAAGTTAGCAGTCCCGTTTGTTTGTGCCCATGTATCGGAAGGCCCGCTGAATCACTGAAAAGTCATGTAGGAAGCATTTTGAGTCAAGGATGACTCCACTATGACTCACAGTGTGGGGAAAGAAACTGGTGTGCCTTGTGGAGTCTGGAAATGACCCTCCAGCCTCCTCAGAGCAGAGCGCTTCAGTGTCGCCCTGCGCTGACTGACAGAGACTGGCAGTCTTCAGCATTTCACAACTGTCTGGGTCCCTGGGGCCCAGAAGGGGGAGGGCTCCATGGACGGGGGTGGGGGGGGGTGGAGAGGGAAGGGAGCCTGCCTGCGTCCAGGAGGCCACCTGTCAGCCCCAGCCCAGCCTTGCCCTAGGGGTGAAGTGTCCTGTCATCCCCCAACCCCCACCCCCTAACCCTCCCACCCCACCCCCACCCCGTGCCTGTTTCCTTGCCTCAAGTCTGCAGGGACGCAGTCCAGAGCTAGATTTGACCCTAAGGGGGAAGTTAAAGGAAGGGGCTGCCTCTCCTCTTTCTGACCCCTTTTCTCTCTCTGTCCTGGCTGCCTCAGGGACGTGGAGAGAGCCTTTGGCCCGCGCCTTTCCCACTGGGCTCAGACTTCGTGGGCTCTGGGTGAGAACTCTGTGGTCACCCAACCCTCACGTCCCATTCACCTGACACACTTCTGTCGTTAGAGAATACAGAGGTGTATTTTTAAAACCATGTGTTCATTCTTGTTTGATGTGTGGGCGTGTTTGCTTGGATGTATGAATGCAGTGCCCGCAGCGGCGTGGAGCCCCTGTGGATCCACATGCGGGTGCTGGGAAGGGGACGCAAGTCCTCCGCAAGATCAGCAAGTGCGGTTAAGGCCGAGCCTCTCTGTGGCCCTCTTTACTGATTCCGTCCTTCAGATGCCAAGGGTTCTGTAGGCGGGGCATACGGGCAAGTGGAGGTGGCAATGAGAAGTCACTCACAGCTGGGCATGGTGGCACACACCTGCAGTCCCAGGCCTGGGCAGGGGGACCTCAAGCCTGAGGCAGCTTGTGCCACATAGAAAAAACCCTGTCTGGACAACGACAAAGAAACCCCTGGATCTGAGGCGGACCCCGGCTGCCTGTTCTTACTGTGTGATGACCCGGGAGATGCTACTGATCACTCTGAGCATCCGGCCCTTATTTGAAAAATGAGGCTCCCACCTGGCTTCCTGACTTGTGGAGGGGTAAAGTAAGATCACGTGGTGTGAAGAACACGCTCCTCAGGACACCTGCTATGTGTCTAGTCTGTCACGCACCTTGTCTCACTACTTACACACTGCCCCTTCACAGGCTGGACTCCAACATTCGGCACCTAAGTGTGAATTTGGAAAAATGTTACTCTGACTCTCTAGATGGAGCAGAAGGAACATTACTGCAGGTAAACATCCTTAAAAACAAAACAAAAACAAAACAAAGAGAAACAATAGGTACTTATACCACCTGGAGGCAAATCACAATGGTCAGTGCAAGGTAGAAACTGGATGCTAGATTGCTCACCGGCCAAGAGCTACTGCTGTTCTTACAGAGGGCCAGACCCAACCCTCGGCACCACCACCAACAGCCTGTAACTCTGGCTTCAGGGGTCCAATGCCCGCTTCTGTCGCCTGCAGATGCTGCACACATCCACACAAATAAAATAATCAGGGCTGGAGAGATGGCTCAGCAGGTAGGGGTACACACACACACACACACACACACACACACACACGTTCATTGGCTAACAACTGCCTGTAACTCTTGCTCTGAGGGACCTGATGCCTCTGGTCTCTGCAGGCAGGTGCACATGATTAAAAATAAAATAACTATTTAAAAAGCAAATCATGTGAAAAATCCTGGGCTGAACAGGGTACCTGCCCTAGGACCTCAGATGACCATTTCTAAATGTGCAGTAGTGGTTTCCAGCCTTGACTGTGCGTCTAAATTACCTGGTGATCCCCCTCCCCAAAAGTAGTGAGGTAACTTTATTTGGATTGAAACAGTCAAGATAGTAATAGAGCAGTGGTTCTCAACCTTCCTAATGCTGCGACCCTTTAATACAGTTCCTCACGTTGTGCTGACCAACCACCATAACATTATTTCATTGCTACGTCATACCTGTAATTTTGCTACTGTTATAAATCATAATGTGAATATCTGTGTTTTCCGGTGGTCTTAGGCAACCCCTGTGAAAGGGCCATTTGACCCCACAGGGGTCGAGACCCACAGGTTGAGAACTGCTGGTACAGACTCTAGAGGGATACACTACCAAGGCTGGCAGTGAGCCACACAAGTTAGTTCCCAGATACCCCTCCCCCCTTTTTGAGACAAGGTAGCCCAGGCTGGTCTTGAACTCTGTGTAACAGAGGTGACCTTGAACTGGTCCTCCTGCCTCTACCTCCCCAGTGCTGGGGCCCTAGCCATGTGCCCCCACACCCCACACCTAAATTTAAATATATGTATTTTCTCTAGCTTCACAACCAAGTTTTAAGTGTGAAATCCCACAACTGGGAGGCAGTGGCTGTATCAGTAAAACATACACACACACACACACACACACACACAGACACACACAGAGATACATACACACACAGACACACACACACACAGACACACACACACACAGACACACACACACAGACACACAGACAAACAGACATAGACACAGATACACACAGACACACACACAGACACAGACACACACAGAGATACATACACACACAGACACACAGACAGACAGACACACACACACAGCCTGATTCTGAAGCTCAGAGGAGGAGAACAGACATATGCTGGGGAGGACTCTCAGCCACTGAGGAGAACTAACTGCTGCAGGCATTCCCCAGGGAAAGCCGAGTGGCGGGGCTCTAAAGCTGAAGTAAGGGGACGCTCGGGCTGTCGGCTGTCCGTTGCGTTGGCACACTCTGGCACCAGCAGTTTCACGGAAAGCTCCAGGTCGGTGACTGCACAGGGAGGACCTTCCATAAGGGGAGGTGATTGTCAAAACTGATGCAACTGGTGGGGTAGCTCAGTGGTAGAGGCCTGGTGCACGAAACCCATCATCACAACACAACAAAACCAACCAACCAAACACCGGCTAACTGAACAGAGCCAAATGACGGTTTTTCCTGGCAAAGCATTTATTGAAAGTGACATTCAGAGTAAACCATCTTCTGGAAGGCACGCAGCTACACTGGCCCATGCAAGAGAGCCAACAACTTATAAGATTCCAATACAATACGGATGGCCAAGTCACCTGCTTTACAGTCTCTTAAATATTTTTAGAAAGCTAAAACAATGAATTAATTGATATTTAAAATGTCAAGCCCTCCTGACAACATATGGAACAGCTAAGAACTTGACATAGCGGAGCCCGTCTCAATGATCCGTTGACAGAGTAGTCTTCAAAAACAGAAATAAGATTGTGAACTACATGACCCAGCCCGGGTCCAGGGTCCTCATGGGCGATTGTCATACTAGGAGTCAAACCACCCTTTCCGTAGGAAAGAGCATATTTCAAGACGGCAATCGCCGTGTCTGCACTTACTTTGAATTATGAACTCTATCAGAAATCCTTCAGCCAAACCACCCTGAAATGCACAGCGGATTCCTCGCCTGCAGTTTTCTCTTTCTCCAGTAGATGGCAGTAGCACACCATCTTTCATCACAAAGGTTCCAAGAAGAGAGGTTAAATTGCCGGGAAGGCTCACGCTGTTAGCAGGTCAGGTTTCTCAAGGCCAGGTTAGTGGGATGTAAGAAGCGGCAAGGAGAATAAAGAAGAGGAGTTAGTTCTAAGGGGTATGAGGTTAAACTGGTGCTGGCTATAGAGATAGAAAGATGAACAGCGGATGTGGGCTCCAAGGAAGGGCAGTGAAGTCCTAAGTATCAAAAGCATGTCCAAGAGACGTGAAATCTAGAACGCACTGGTTTCTTCTTGACAGTGGTAAGGAAAAATAAGGCCTTAGCTTGTGACTGAAACAGCAAGTTAGCAGAAGGGACAGACTCATTTAACAAGCGGCTAAAGAACGTCTCACAGTTCTTCCTCTGAATTAAACGTTCAGATCTACCCAACAGCAAAGGCTAGTTGCTGAGTGATTAACACTGGTGAATAATCCAAATAACAAGCAAGGACTATTACAGTAGGACCTGTCTTGAGAACAGCCCGCTTTCCCTACAGGCTCTCGGCCCAGCTCCCCTCCCTGTGGCACAGGCCAGCCACCGAAGTCCAAAACAGCGGAACAGACTTTAATCGGCCAAGAATAAAGGCTGTTCTTACAGGTGCCTATTAAAGCACTCTGAATAACCCGGAAGGACACTTGTGCATTTATCATCACTTGCCTTTGTGAATACACACTAAAGTTCTCCCATTATTTTATTCCCATTTTTCAAGTTTTTAAACAGAGTTTATGTGCATAAGTGTTTTACTTTATATATGTCTGTGCACCGTGTGCATGCGTGGTGCTCTCAGGGGCCAGAAGAGGGCATCAGATCCCCTGGAACCAGGCAGCACAAGTGTGTTGGGAACTAAACAAGGGTCCTCTGCAAAAGGCAGCAGACGCTTTCAGGCTCTGAGTCATTTCTCCAGCCCCGGAGTGTAACTCAGGACTAACCTCAAAGCCAGCGTCCCCCACCTCTGCCTCTTCAGCATCCTCCTGGCCTGCGCCGATTCCTACGTAAATATGCAGACCCAGTGGTTAACATATAGCCCGACAGAAACCACTGCGGTGTCACAGGAAATAGAAATGCCATTTGCCTTTCTGTTTTCTTTCTGGAGACCCTCTCACGCTGTTGCCCAGGCTGGTTTTGAACTCTTGCCTCCAGCTCCTAGGTAGCTAGCTGGATTACATGGGGCCCTCTGTTCTCAGGGGCCCCTCTCTAAGGAACAGAGCAGCTTTTACAAGTACGTTCTTTTAAAGGAGAAAAAGTGGACAGCTCTACAGATGTTTACTTCAAGGTATCCTAGGGGTTTACCAAAAGACAATCTTTCTAGAAAAAAATTTCTGTGAGACTCGATCAGCTCACAGGAATGAAGATGACAGGGAGATACTTTTATCAGGGTTTTGAAAAGGCAGGAGGCCCCAGTGTGTGGAGCTCAGAGGACAAGCCTCAGGGCTCCAGAGCAACTGGGCCAGGCGCAGGCGTGAGCTGTTAGGACACCCGCTGGGTCTGATTGTTTTTAGAACCTGGGGTTCTCTCTGCCGCCGCCCAGCTGTGAGCTCCCTGGCTTCCGTCGGCTTGTGTCGAAGCCGAAGGAGAAAATAGCAGCTTTACCCCACTCCCTCACTGGCCTTCCACTGACTGACGGTATTTTTGCTTCGGACAGCCCCCCTCTTCCTACTGTGAAGACTGGACTATATATAAACCTGCCTCCTCCTCCGCTTCCAAACACGTGAAGGGAGGGAGAACACCTGGGCGTGCGGCCGAGCCCAGGAGACATTGCCGCTTCAGGCCGGCATTCACCGGAGTCGCTGGGTGTGGACCCCAATCCTTCCACTCACAGCCACACTTTATAATGCTCTTACCATTCATTAAAGACGACAGCTCGGTTTCCTGTGAAGACTAAGGAAAGCTAAGCAAAAAATAAGTCTCTGTGGCTAGAACGATGAGCTAAAAATAGGTTTAACACAGTGAACAATACACACACACAAGATAATAAGTGATAATAAACATCTGCTGAATGGAATTGGAGCTCTAGCTACTGAACATGTAAAATGAACATCCTGCGCTACAAGCAATTGTCAGGACTGTGAGAACAGCCTTTGTGAAGATCACGGTGCTCCATTGAGAAAATCCCTTCCAACTTTTGAAAACAAAAAGAGAATCACACAACCTTTTGGCTAACATCTTCACTTAAACAGGAGCAAAAGTCTTCCTATGTTTCGGTCACAAGAGCCAAGTGACGGGTGTTTTCCTAAGAAGTCTGACCAGGTTAATACTTCTTGTGCATCTGAAAGAAGCTACAAAGGTCCACTTTCCACCAAGAGCGGTCAGTGCATTGCCTTGGGAACAGTCTTGAGACCCAGTTTACAAACCTGAGCAAGGAATGTCCATCCAGTTCTGGTCCGGCCCATTCCCCACAGCACCGGCTCATGGCATGCCACTCCGGCGGGATTTTCCACAATAGAGAAATCACAAGGATAAAAATACAATGATGGAGTGTCTTGGAGAGCAGCAGAGATGACTTCAGTCCTTTCAAAATGTTTCTGTAGGCGCAAATTGGTTTGTTCTGCACATACAGGGAAATCTTCCCACCAGTGATTTGGTTCCTACAACTGGATCCCAATTTTCTTGTAAAAAAATTTACTAAAAATACAGAGCAAATCTAATTTTAGAAAGAAAACTTAAAGATGATTCCGTGCAACTAAAATCCACAAAGAGAAAACAAAAGATGTCTGAATTATGTAATCATCCAATAACAAAATGGTTCTTGAGCTCTGTAGTGTTTTTTTTTTTTTAAATCAGAAACCAAATCTTTGGAGTACACTTAATAATAACCAGAATTTCACAAAGGATGTCATTACTCAATTATATTGGTAACACTTTAATCTGGGATCTTCCATCCAATTTTTGCTTGTATTACTGATTTGCTGGAAGCGGATGTCCAGAGAGACCGAGAAAGCAAATACTTTTCTTAGGAAGGCCAACCAGCCGAATAATCCTCTGCACAGTCCTTACATTGTGAATGTGTATGAAGGCCACAGCTGCATCAGGACCTGGAGAAAGACAGCTTTCCTGTCCATTGTTCCATTTCCCACTGTCCATCCACCTCCCCACGAGGGGCTCACTGCAGGATCTTCTAGTCCACGTGGCCACTAGCAAAGGCCGAGGGGGTTTCTGATGTTCAGGGTCCAGGAACTCCAGAGAACAGCACTGAGGGACAAGTCAGTGCTCCTGAACTCTAGATCTACCCCCAGACAGACTTCCTGCTCCGAGGGCGAAGGCAACAGGCAAGCGATACATTCTTAGAGTGTAGCTACTTGGCAGGAAGAGAAAGACCAGGTCAGACCACGTGTCCTGGATTTAGGACCAAAGACTGCTTGACTTCTAGGCGCCGACTCCCGGTCTGCAGCAGCAGAGAGAGTCTTGTCCACGTGATGCTGGGTGGGTGCCAACGGCCTCGAAGGTGCCTGGGCTCTGGCTGCCTAAAGTTTAGTGAGGCTTGTGCACGGGATGGAGCAGGGTCATGTGCTCTGCCCCTTTGAAGGGCAACTTTGCGCTGGAATAATAGTGTACCACTTCAGGGATGCTGTCGAATACGGCACTGGTCTGATCCAGTGTGTAGCGGTTGTCTTTGGTCTGAGCCACTATGATGTGGACACACCCTTGACTAGTCCTGCAGGAGAAAAACAAGAAGACTTGAATGAGTGAGCAGAGTGTCCATCCCCACTGGAAACAGTCCCGGCCAGATTCACAAGGGGTGGACGGGCCCTCTTCCTGTCCTGCAACCGCTCTGCATACACAGAAAAGCATCCAGCAGGCTGATGGAGGGCCTGGAAGTGTCTGAATACCTGGCACCTCAACTTGTTTATCGTTACTACACACCAGTGGTCGGGACTGGAGGGGAACAGTCAAATAAATCCCTTCTGCTACCCAAACGGTAGGACTGGTGAATGAGCCTGAGCCTGCCGCCGCTCTGCAGTTCATACTGAACCCCTTGCCGCTGCTAAAGTCATGTGAGGTTTCTTCTCCTCTATTTCCCCCAAAGGAACGCATTAATAATAATAACAACAACAACTGCCCATTTGGCCCCTGCCCTCATGAGGAAAGACCAGTCCCGGTTGCACATAATGACAGCTGGTACCGAAGGCTCAAAGATTTAATCCCCAAACGCCGCCGCTTTCGGGAGCACAGTGCTGTTCCTGGTATTGTCTATGCGGCCTGTCCCATTTTCTGAGCCGGGGTGCGCTCGTGCCCCTCCCCCACCCTTCCCTTCCAGTCCGATTGTTTCAGCTGCAGGGGCTCAGCTTCCTCAGGAAGGAAGTGCTGCTGGGGCTCTTGACAATGATCCTCCAATATAGTGCCACCGACTTCACCGAGCAATGAGAATTTCCATGAGACACATTCTGGCAAGCCCGCCAGGCCAAAGCGAGTTTTCTGTGTACAATTTGGCCGAGGGAGCAAGAGGCGACCGACCCCGCATCTCCTTCTGCACCAGCAGAGACTGGTATCAAGTGCAGCTGGCATTCTGACAGCCAGGGATTCGACATTCATTAAGGTCCCTCATACTAGGGAATAAACGAAAACCAACCGGCTGGGGGTGGGGGTGGGGGTTGGCACACGCCTGTGGTTCTCTCGCCGGGGATGCAGAGGCAGGAGACTACTAAGTTCTGGATAAACCCACACAGTGAGACCCGTCTCATAAGAAAAGAGGAGGGCCAGGCATGGTGGCACGTAACATTTAATCCCAGTACTCAGGAGGCAGAGGCAGGAGGATCTCAGTGAGTTTGAGGCCAGCCTGGTCTACAAATCAAGTTCCAGGACAGCCAGGGCTACACAGAGAAATCCTGTCTTTAAAAAAAAAAAAGAAAGAAAGAAAAAAGAAAAAGAAAAGAAAGAATTGGTGTGTGTGTGTGTGTGTGTGTGTGTGTGTGTGTGTGTGTGTGTGTGCCAGAGACATGACTCAGGGGTTAACAGCACCGACTGCTCTTGCAGAGGACCTGAGTTCAGTTCCCAGCAACCACATGGAGGCTCACAACCATCTCTAACTCCAGTTCCAGGGAATCTGATGCCCTCTTCTGGCCTCCATGGGCACCAGGCATGCACATGGTACACAGACTTACACACAGGCAAATACTCGTTAACATAAAAGTTTTTAAAATTAAAAAAAAAAAAACACAGAAGAGGTTGAACTGCACTGTCTTTTTAATTCGTATTGACTTATTTTTCTGCTTTTGGACAAACTTAGGGCTTGTGTGTGCTGGACAAGTGCTCTACCACGGCACTGCACCCCAACCCCAGACACTACTCTTTTTTTTTTTTAAATTATTATTATTTTTTTATATGTTATGAGTGTTTTGCCTACATCCATGTCTGTGCACCATGTGCATGCCTGGTCCCTACAGAGGCCAGAGAGGGCATTGGATTCCTGGGAACTGGAGTTAGAGACAGTTGTCGGCTGCCATGTGGGTGCTGGGAATTGAACCCGGGCCCTCTGGAAGAGCAGCCAATGCTCTTAACTACTGAGTAATTTCTCCAGCCTTGGCACATTTTTAAAAAAAAAATTGTTTTTGTTTTCTTGTTTTTCGAGACAGGATTTCTCCTTGTATCCCTGGCTGTCCTGGAACCCACTCCGTAGACCAGGCTGGCCTTGAACTCACAGAGACCCACCTGCCTCTGCTTCCTGAATGCTGGAATTAAAGGCCTGGGCCACCATGCCCAGCTTCACCTTTTTTTTTTTTAATATTAAGAATTATTTCTCTTCTAAGAGGCCTTAGATTTGGTGACGTAAGGCAGAAACCGACTGATGCTCAACGATGAAAACGGGAGCGTCATGACTGTAACAGACGCCGGGGTTTTTACCCAGCGTCAGTTCTGATCAGTGTCTCGCCATCTGCTGTCCAAGTAACCGCCTTTTGTTTTCTGGTGATCTGCGCCCTGTGACCACCTTCAAATTGTACCTGTTTTGACCGCCCATCTACCCCCAGGGAGGAAAGACTGTACAGCACACCCTTGCCTTCAGACAAGGATGCTGGCGGGGTGAGGACACTTACTTCAGTGCGATGGAGTACCTGCTGTTGCCCGACTCACTGTTTCGGACCAGGTAACCAGCCTCTTTGCAGGGCTGGAGTCGGCTCTCGGCCTCAGCTCGGGTAATGGTGCCATGATACCAACTGAACAGAGGCAGAGAAGAAACGGTGTCACAGTGCAAACCCAGACTGAGTTTACATCCCTCTGTAAGCATCATTTAAAACCACCCCACTGAGGCACGGTCTGTACAGAGCTTCTGAAGATGCTCAACAGCCTCGGCGGACCCTGTTTCACATGCAGAACAGACACGATGCAGATTCCAGTGGTCCCCATCACAAAGCCATACACAGCCAAGTCAAGTCTTGCAGAGGCCCTGGGTTCAGTTCCTAACATTCACACGGTGGCTCATAACCATCCACAACTCCAGTTCCGGGGTATTCAATGCCCTTTTCTAGCCTCTTTGGGTATCAGGATGTACATGGTTCACACGCACGCACACACACACACACACACACACACACACACACACACCACACGCAGGCAAAATGCTCATAACATAAAAATAAAACAGCCATTCAAAAATAAAGCAAAAATAAATTCAAAAATAAAAGGAGGCTGGTTACCTCCTCTGTATGAAGGAGGCTTAAGCGGCCTTCTTGGGATACAGGCCCTTCTATCCTGAACAAACACACCATACTAGGAAGTCCCACCACGCAAGAATTCATACATGAAAGGGATGGCCCCACATGGGCCAGGGGGCCCCACACAAGGCTGTGACAGAGTCACGGAGGGAGACTCACGGCTGCTTTTCCAGGGCCAGGCCCGGGTCCACCTTCTCCCTGTCACTGTGGTCCGCCGACAGGGTTGGCCTCAAGGTCTTCTGCCAGTGGTGTGCCGCTCTGCCCGTCTCTTCTTTGCTGGGAGGTCGATCGGATCCCTCAAACTGGACTGGAAGGAAGATGTCACTCAGTACCAGAGACCACAGAGGCTGGCCACGTGACCTCCAAGGGGAAAACCTCATGCCTGCTTTAGCCCAGGTAAGCTCCACTGCGCAGCAGCATCCCTAGACAGGCATGCCCCTGCTGTCATGGACATCTGATTACAATGCTACTGTCCCCATGGGACACTTGAGGTGACTCATCAGTTTAAAACAGTTTTGGAACACAAAGAGGAGACTCACGTTCAGCATGGACTTTTATTCTAAAAATGCTTTAAAAAGGTTTTTTGTTTATTTGTTTGTTTAAAAGATTCAACAAATTTAAAGTGTGACTCTCGAGCACTCTGCCCTGAACGGGACATCTGTTTCTCACCCTATCCTCAAGGTCCAGGGACCTGCGCAGAAGAGAGGCAGAAATGCCATCAGAGCCGCACGTGGTAGATGATTTCAATGAAACAGCGTTTGGCAGACACACATGAACTCAGAGGCTGTGACAACTCACACAAACCTGCACAAGCCCGAGCCCGACAGATCCCAGCCAGAAGGAGAAGACGTGGCCCCGAGTCCCACCCCTAGCCAAGAAGCTATTCACAAATGACAGCTGCCAGGACAGGGAAATCACTTTTCTTCCACCACACTCCAGAACGGACACCACGTCAGCTCAGGAGCAGTTAGCCAACGCAAATAGGACTCCACGGTTCTTAGTGGCTTCCCTCCTTTCTTTTCTTTTCAGAGAGAAGTTGTGTGGGTGAAGCGGGTAAGATCAGAGAGGAGTTGGAGGATAGCAAAGTATATGATAAAAATACACTCTATGAAATTCTCAGCGAATAACTGTTTTTCAAAGGACTTAAACATACAGTTAGTGAAATGTAGTGAGTCTATCTCTTTCTATAGACTCAGTGGCAACTTTCACTATGAAATAATAAAGCAAAAAAGACAAAACACTCAGAAACAGAACAAAGCCATGACATGAGACCTTAGAGCTGTGGAGATACCCAGGACGGGCAGAGGAGAGACCCAGCAGAGGCACTTCATATTGGCTTTGCTTTTTTTTTTTTTTTCTTCAAACAAGCTCTCATACAGCCTAGGGTGGCCTAGAACTTGCCATGCTCCTGCTTCTGTGTAGGAAGTGCTGGGATTACAGGCATGCACCACCACCACGTAGCACGCCGGTTCACCTTCTATTTTGATTTACTGTTAAGGGGAAAAGGTACCTTGTAAATTCTAAATCAAAGGCAAAACAAATTCTGTGAAAGCCAAATGGAAAAATTATGTATGGGAAGCAGCCGTTACAGATGGTTGTGAGCCTCCATGTGAGTGCTGGGAACCAAACCCAGGTCCTCTGTAAGAGCAGTTAGTGCCCTTAACCACTGAGCCATCTCTCCAGCCCACACTCCTACCCCATTCCCCCTGTTTTGCTTTAGGGCAGCTTATCAACTTTCCCTTAAATTACTTAGAAACCCCCACACAAGCAAAGCATGGTGGTATCCCAGCTACCTGAGAGGCTGAGCCCAGGAGCTTGAGACCAGCCTGGGCTAACTAAATAGGAGATGCTTTCCCTGGCCTCTGCAACAAAAGCTCCACATCTGAAGACGTGACTCTACCTTCAATCTAGGTTTTCCTTTGGAATATCTTTCTAAAGGAATCAATCTGTAGCTGGGAATTGTGGCATATGCCTCTAACACCCTCACTAAGGAAACTGAGGCACGAAGAAAAGCAAGCGACAACAAAACCCATCCAGTTTTCTCTCTAGTTTTTGGCCATTAACCTATCTCACCCAGTCCTGGCATTTCACCGTGAGCAGCTCACAGGCTTGAAGAGGAAGTGAGGCCAAGAACTAGAAAAGCTGTTTCCAGCTGGATAGCTTCAGTGATGGGAAACCAACGCAAAGTGATCAAGGAGGCTTTTCCAACCGCCCCTGAAGGCATCTCCACAGCTACACGCAGAAAGAGAAGGAAACAAGTAGTTTTAAGGGGCACAGTTTCGGCCTGGTTGTCGTTCTGATCACAGAGTACCGGAGAGCTCAGACTAGCCTTGAACTCCTGATTTTCCTGCCTTCCAAGTCCTGGCAATACAGGCACAGAATCTGGGCCTCGTCCATAGCTAGATTCTTACGTCTCTACCTCAAATGCCCTCTTAAAAGAGAGACTTGTGGGCTGGCAAGATGGCTCAGGGGGTAAAGCTGCCTGCCACCAAGCCTGACAGCCTGGGTTCAATTCCTGGGGCTCACGTGACGGAAGGGGAGGCCAACTCTCTCAGGCTGTCTTCTGGTCTACCATGTTACACTCATTCCCAGGTACAAACAAACAAACAATCAATCAAACGAACAGATGTAATAAAAATAGGAGACTCGCAGCAGGAAACAGAGTATGACGCAGCCTGTAAAGTCATTACGAACCGAGGGCCACTCTCAGTACCCTCTGCAATGGGTCATCAGAGCCGATTGATGCTCCTCTGGAGCCGGGCATGGGAGACCAGCCGCTCCCCTCCTCCTCCCCTCCCTTAGCCTCTAGTATCCAGAGCTCTGCCCTGGATTCCCTGGATTTCTGAGGACTTTTTCAGAGTGTCCACCTGAGTGAACTCATGCTAGGTGATGGGTGTGTATGTTCACCACCCGCACTTGGCCATTGTTCAGCATACACATGTGCTGAGGGGCACACCGTGTGTGAGCCTGGACCATGTGCGTGTGTCAGCTCTGAGAAGTCGGCAGTGTTAGGCCCAGAGGGCCCTGAGTGGCAGGTGCTGCACCCTCACCTGACAGGGCCCGTGCGATCTGCTCCCTCTTCCATTCCCAGGGCTGCTCATACTCAGCGGCAGGTCGATCATCCTCCTCTGGCAGCCTGCTGTCTGCTGGCCGGGCCTTCACCTCTGCTACCCGTTGGCCACCCTCCGAGGGCTCGTAGGGGGTGTCATAGAGTTGTGGTGGCTTCCCCAACAGGTCCTTGGAGCTGCGTCTCTTGGCTGTGGCCTCCATCTTCATGCTCTCCCCTGGCTCACATGGGCCGTCCAGCAGCTGGAGAGCCTTCACCAGGGGGTCTTTGGAACCACGACGTCTGATTTCTGAAAATCAGGCAGAGCACCTCAGTGCACATGGGCAGGTGTCATGAGGCCCGTGGGTAACCCAGTTGCCTTCGCCTAAGGCAGCGGAATGCTCTGAAACTGTTCTGGGCTGGGCTGGCAACTCTCCGGCCATGCTGCAGAAGCCGGAGGAAGGCACCAGAACTCTCCTGGCTACTGCACGACATGCACATGAACTGAAATATCACATTGTCCCCAGACAGTCTGCACAGTTGCCGAGAGTCAGTTCTGAAGACAGGTTTAAGAAGGACGCCTCGGCACAGCCCAGTGGGCCCAGCCTAAGAGGAGGGCTGATGTCTGCAGACAGTGGCCTCCAGGTTCCCTGCCAGGGTGGTGGAGAGGTGGCCTCTGCAGAGCAGTTTCACTTCCTGCCCTAGTGTCCTGCTCTGAGTAAAGTTTACCTTCAGTTCTTACACTTCTTGCTAGGAAGCCCAGATTAAAGTATTTGTGAATGAAAACCAGCTGTTTGTGGTATTGAAAGCATCGCTCACAACACACCACGAAAGCTATTCGCCTTAGTCAGGTTTATGTTTATTTTGAGACAGGGGTTCTCTGTGTAGCCCAGGCTGTCCTGAAACTCACTCTGTAGACCAGGCTATCCTGAAACTCATTCTGTAGACCAGGCTGGTCTGAAACTCACTCTGTCGACCAGGCAGGCCTTGAATTCACAGAGACCCACCTGCCTCTGCCTCCTGAGTGCTGGGATTAAAGGCGTGCGCCACCATGTCTGGCTTCCATCCTGGTTCTTAAGATACAGACACTTTCAGGGTAGTGGGAGGCAGACACATTCACAAAGCATACTGAAGGATAAGTCCAAATAAAAGGTGGTGTGATAGAAAACAAAATAACCTCTCTGTAACATCTGGCCCGGCAGCGAGCGCTGTTCTCAGTGCGGTGACGCTCACAGCTAGTCTGTGAGCTACACAGGACAGTGTCCCCATGCTAAGGAGAATGGAAGCACAAAGAGCTTGAGGAAATGACCCAGACCAGTACGTGGCAGGGCCCGGGGTGGAAAGCAGGAAGCTGGGCGTTAGAAGCCTTGCTCTTCGACACACACTTGGATGGACTCCAAGTGGAAGAAAAATGGAAGACGAGCTGACTCCGATGGAGAAGGTCGTTTCCAGCGGAGGAAGCTGCATGAATGAAGATAGGGAGCTGGGAAACAGGAGGGATGCCTGCCATCCCGGGGGACCCAGAGCAAAGCTTCAAAGGCAGAGGTCCAGAGAAAAGGAGGCGATTTGGGAGAAGACCTCAGCTGGAGAAGGGAAAAGCCCAGAGACATAAACGTGGGGTGTTTGTTAGTTTTGTTGTCATCTTTAAAAAAAAAAAGATTTACTTATGTATGTATACAAGTGCCTCGTCTGCATGTAAGCCTGCACACCAGAAGAGGGCATTGAATCGTGAGCTGCCACCATGTGGGTGCTGGGAATTGAACTCAGGACCTCTGGAAGAGCATCCAACTGCTCTTATCCGCTGAGTCATCCCTCCAGCTCTGTTATCTTTCTTTCTTTTTTATTTTTAAATAAAAATTTCAAGATGTATTTATTTTTAATTATGTGTGTGTTTCTGCAGAAACCAGAGGATGGTGCCAGATCCCCTGGAGCTCCAATTACAGACAGTTCTGAGCCAATGAGCTTGGGTGCTGGGAACCCAACTCTGGTTCTCTGCCAAAGCAGTAAGTGTTCTTAGTCACTGAGCCATCTCTCCAGCCCGGTCGCTGCTGCTTTTTAAGACAGGGCGCTGTGTAGGCCAGGCCATCCTGGAGACTGTGACGTAGAGAAAGATGGTCTTGAACTCCAGGACTTTCTTGCCTCAGCCTCCCAAGAGCTGGGATTACAGTTGTTTGCAACTCATCTGGAAGCGAGGTTTCTTTCAAAAGCAAGAATAAGAAGTCTGGATTGTGCTGTGTACAGTGCAAATCTATTTAAAGATCCCCCCCCCACAGGATTTCTTTGTGTAACAGCCCTGGCTGTCCAGGAACTCACTCTGTAGACCAGGCTGACCTTGAACTCACAGAGATCTGCCTGCCTCTGCCTCCCAAGTGCTGAGATTAAAGGCCTGTGCTACACCATGCCTGGCCATTTAAAAATCTTAAAAACAGCCGGGCGGTGGTGGCGCACGCCTTTAACCCCAGCACTCCAGAGGCAGAGCCAGGTGGATCTCTGTGAGTTCGAGGCCAGCCTGGACTACCAAGTGAGTTCCAGGAAAGGCGCAAAGCTACACAGAGAAACCCTGTCTTGACAAACCAAAAAACAAAACAAAACAAACAAACAAAAAAACCCCTTAAAAACAGGCAATTATATCTGTGAGTCACTTTACAGTAACTCTAACAGCAGTGTACCGGATGAAGTAATAAATATCTGGCCTGAACTGATGCATAGTAGTGTACAGTTAAACCCTGATATAAACCAGCCTATTAACAGTTAAACAGCTAGCTACTGCAGGACAGGGTCAGTAGTGTCTGGCGATTGACCAGTCTGGGCCTAGGGGCCTTACCAGGTCAACCTAACCAAATGGAATCTCTGAAGAGTCCTACGTGTTACACTTAGGTCTATTAGCATCTGTGGTCTTTTAGTCCATTGGAATCTAATTCTGCATCTCCTCTTGGAAAAGCCTCTCCTGCCCAGCTGGTCCTCTGCTGTCCTTCAGAGCTCACCAGCTGCCATGGTGTCCTGGCCCGTTCTTGCCTTGTGTGTTTACTACGGTGTGCTTAGTTTTCGACATACATGTTTCCAGCTGGATAGAGATGGCCGGGGCAGGGACCACCACACCTCACTTACGTCGGCAGGGCACACACTGTGTCATGATGGGATGCGATGGGATGTCCAGGCACAGGACAATGTGGATCTGCCAGAGTGTGCAAGGAGATTTGTGCCACAGGTAGCTGTTACTACTGTGAGAATAAAAGCAACTGCTGGAGAAGAGGACAGCCGTCTGAAGGGACGGAGAGCCCAGGGCAGACTCTAGACAAGGGCTTCTGAGTAAGGGTGGCTGACACAGCAAGGAAGTGAGGAGGATGGAGAGGCAGGCAGCAGAGGACCAAATGAGCCTGCAGGACTTCCCACAGAGGAGAGCAGATGGACAAAACGATGCTCCCTGGACAGCCACTGACCAGTAAGAGCTCTAGTACAAAGAGAGGACAACAGACGGAGAAAACTATTCAAGGAAGGCCACTCATGAAAGAGGGCAAACTAGCCAGGCGTGGTGGCGCACGCCTTTAGTCTCAGCACTCAGGGACGGAGGCAGGCGGACTCCATGTCCCAGGCCACACAGAGAGTTCTAGACTAGTGAGGGATGTGTATATATATATATATATATATATATATA